CAGCAGTTATGTTTTCAGTTGTGAAAATGCCTTTTTGTTTTTTATTCAGTTTTTATAGTATCTCGTTCATAATTTAAGAATATATCTTCTTGAATTTCTTTTACTCTTCCTGATATATTTTCTCTTTCAGTTTTTTTGCTGCTGATATTTCTCTTTCCTGATGTTTGTTCTCATTATAATCCTGGTGATCTGTGGTTTTCTGTTCATCGTTAGGACAGAATGATAGCATAGCTGGTGTGGCTTTTCTCTTACTGGGGGAACAGACTTGTTTTCTCTAATTGTAAATTCTCACTGAATGCTCTGTGCAGGGAGGATCAGGGCATGCTGGGCCACCTTTTGGCCCTACACCCCCCTCTACCATCCCTAGTTTTGTAGTCTATTTTATGGTAAAACTCCTTCAATGTCTGCTTGCTGTCTCCAATTTCCCTACTCCTGTTTATCTTGAATCACTCCAATTGAATCACTCCAATTAGGCTTTCATATACTCACACATGCTCCAGTGAGTTCCCTGTTGCTAATTAATTTTTAGTCTTTATCTTACTTGATCTATTAGCTACATGATCACTCCTTTCTTCTTGAAATACTTTCTTCATTTAACTTTCAGTAGACTGTTTTCTTAGTTTTTTTTTCCTACTGTACTGAACCTAGTCTTTTTACTGTCATTTGCTGGTTTCTCTTCATCTTCATGACCTCTAAAGATAGGAGTGTTTCAGGGCACAGTCCTTGAGACTTTATCTTCATCTACATCCACTTTACTTCCTAAGGGATCTTATTATGTATGGCTTTAAATTGTCTATTAGTTCATGGGTTAGCAAACTTCTTCTGTAAAGGGCCAGTTATTTTATTACATGTATATGTTTTAGGTTTTACAAGCCATGTGGTGTTTGTTGCAGCTACTCTGCTGATAGAGTGTGGAAGCTGTCATAAATAATAAGCAATAAATGGGCATGGCTGTGTTCCAATAAGCTCTACTTACAAAACAGAGGGCTGCATTTGGCCTGTGGGTCTTAGTTTGCTGACCCCTGTATTAGATGATGAATTATAAATTTATGTTTCTAATTTGAACTGTACTCTCAACTCCAGACTCTCATATCCAGTAGCCTATATCTTAGGTCTTCATATGGATGTCTATTAAGCACCTCAAAATTAATGTGCTCAAAACTGAACTCCCAATTTTCTACCCATACCTATTCTACTTATCATCCTTACCATTTTAGTAAATGACAACTTCATCCTTCTAGCTGCTTAGTGCAAAACACTTTTGACTTTTCTCTTTTTCATATATTCCATATCTGGTCTGTCAGCAAATCCTGTTTATTCTCCTGTGAGATTAGATTCAGATTCCGATCACTTCTCACCACCTTCCCTGCTATTGTCCTGGTCCAAGCCAATATCAACCTAAATAACAGAGGATCTCTAAAAGAAAAATGTTTATTTGGGAAGAGAGTACTGCAAGGGGAATACACATATCATAGTAAACTATGTATGTATTCAGGGAGATAAAGGAAGACAAAGGTTTTTCATAGAAAAAATGAGGAGGATTATGTAATTGTTTTGAAATAATTATCCTTGGCTACAAAGATCAATAACAAGGGTGATGCCAGTCCAAAATTGGACAGGCAGTTGCTGGGCAGATGTCCTTGCGGAAGTATTCTTTGTGTAAGGTTGCGATGGTGAGAACCTTCTCTTCCTATCCTTTCCTGGCTCCGTTTGTCAAGTTTTTCTTCATATTAGTGATTCCATTTTGATTCTGACAACTTTCACACTGCTATGATATTTTGTCTGGATTATGGTAGTCATCTTACCACTGGTCTCCTTACTTTAGTACTGCTCAGCTCTCCCCTGACTCCATTATGCACTCAACTCAGCAACCTCAGTGACTCTGAAAACTTAAGAGGAATCATATTACCCCTCTGCTTAAACTGGCCGTGGTGGCTGACGCCTGTAATCCCAGCACTTTTGGTGGCTGAGGTGAAAGGATCGCTTGAGGCCAGGAGTTCGAGACCAGCCTGGGCAACAAAGCAAGACCCCTTCTGTAGTCCCAGCTACTCTGGAGGCTGAGGCAGAATGATCGTTTGAGCCCAGGAATCTGAAGCTGCAGTGAGCTATCATTGTGTCACTGCACTCTAGCCAGGTGACAGGGCTAGACCTTGTCTCAAAATAAAAAAAACAAACCAAGAAAACCCTACAATGACTCCCTCATTCACTTTGCAAATGACAAAATCTTTATAATGGCCCAGAGGTCCAATACATGTGGCTCTCTGTTAATGCTCTTACCTTAGCTCTTTTGTTCTCTCTTTTCCAGTCCTGGTAACCTTCTTGCCAAGGGTACTCCCTGTTTTGGGCCTTTGCACTTAAATGTTCCCTCTGCCTGGGATAACTTCATGGCTTGCTCTCTCACTTCCTTCAGGTTTGGCTCAAATCTTACTTTATCCTTGAGGCCTGCTGCACTATTGCAGTGTTTTTCTGACCCCAAATACACGTCCTTTTTCCATACCAATTTTTTTTTTTTTTTTTTGAGACACAGTCTTGCTCTTTTGCCCCAGCTCCTGCGCATTGGCGTAATCATAGCTCACTGCAACCTCAAACTCTTCGGCTCAAGCAATCCTCCTGGCTCAGCCTCCTAAGTAGCTAGAATTGCAGGTGTGCACCACCATACCCAACTAATTTCTTTATTTTTTGTAGAGACAGGGTCTCTCTTTGTTTCCCAGGCTGGTCTTGAACTCCTGGCCTCAAGCGATCCTCCTGCCTTGGCCTCCCAAACTACTGGGATTACAGGTGCGAGCCACTGCACCTGACCCCTCTGTACCAATTTTGATACTAACTATTGGGAGTTATCATCAGACTTCACGCGTTTGGTGGCTTAGTCCACAAGACTGTCCCCACTTCGGACACCAGTCACAAGTCGCAGCTATAAATTTGGGGTTTCCCACAACCTCCTCAGGTTTGATAGAACAACTCATAGAACTCAGGAAATAGCTTGACTTATGCTTACCAGATATCATAAACGATACAACTCAGGAACAGCCAAATGGAAGAGCCAAATAGAGCAAAGTAAGTAGGGGTAGGGATGTACTTCCTCTGGGCTTGCTTCCTTACCCTAAGCACATCAGGGTGTTCACCAACCTGGAAGCCCCTGTCCTTTAGGAATTTCTCTTGGAGGTCTCATCACGTAGGCATGATTGATTAAATCACTGGCCATTGGTGATTAAGCTCAATCTCCTGCTCTCTTCTCTCCCCAGTGGTTGGAGATAGGGAATGGGAGGTGCTGAGTTTAACCTCTGGTTGGTTGGTTTTTCTTATGACCAGCCCCTGCCCTGAAGCTACCTGAGGTCCCTCCCCAATGAGTCATTTCATTAGTATACAAAAGACAAATTTCAAGGGTTTTAGGAGCTTTGTGCTGGGGACAAAGACGAAATATTTATTTTTTAGTGTCCTGACTTTTTCTATGTAAAATAACAACTCTCTCCACCTCCAATCCTGCGCTCTTTCCCTTGATCCCAATTTATTTTCCTCCATAGCACCAATCACCGTCCCATTTCTGTGTTTTTTCTCTCTCCATAAGCTCCTTGAGGGCAGGAGCCCTGTCTTGTTCAGTGTCGTGTAATACGGTAGTCTCCCCTTATCTGCAAGGTATATGTTCTAAGACCCCCAGTGGATGCCCGAAACCAGGGATAGTACTGATCCCTATATATACTATGTTTTTTCTGTCTGATAACTGAGATGGCTACTAAGGGACTAATGGGCTGGTGGTGTCTACTGCATGGAGATGCTGGACAAAGAGCTGATTCACATCCTGGGCAGGATGGAGTGGGACAGTGAGAGATTTCATCATGCTACTCAGAATGGCGTGCATTTTAAAACTTTTGAATTGTTTATTTCTGGAATTTTCCATTTAATATTTTTGGATGGCAGGGACTACTGTATTGCCCAAAACTGAGACTGGCATGGTAGATGCACTATAAATGAATTAGCTTCAGCTAATAACCCTTGTAGGTAGGAAGTCAAGTGTTAAGACTACCAAGGAAAAAAGAGGAGGGTGTTTTCCTGAGGTACCAACATCTGGCTAGAAGTTTTAGCTTCCCCCAAACATTTGGTTCATTTGTTTGAAGAAGAGCTGGCAGGTGTTTTCCTTGGGGGTAAGCGGTAAGTGTTGCTTAGGCTCTGTGACCTTCTGTGTGCATTTGTCCTGTATACAAATTCTCAGCTGATTGGCTCTTTTCTACCCCAGAATTCCCTTCCATCTTTTGTTGTGACTGACTCAGCCCAGAGCCTCTCTGGGGTTTTGTCAGGCATATGAACTCTTCCCTAGGCTTTCTCCTATCTGTCAAGCTGTTCTTGTTTATATTTTCCATTCTCTTCATTTTTCATTATTTCTTTTGGTGGTTCTGTATGTTTATTCTAGTGTGGCAAAGCAGCTGGAATGTCAAAAAGCCAATTTTGTTCTTTTAGAATGAGAACAACATGATTGAATAATCTGTCTCTATAATGGTGCTTGAGAAAATGGTAGACAAGAGAATAGTACTTGTGTTTATGATGATGAATATTAGTCACTGAAAAAATATTTCAGGAGGAATGCCAT